CGCAGGGCGTGGGCCGCGGCGGGTCGGGCTTCGCGTCCTACTTCTGCCTCAACTCGCCCGCGCTGGACACGGCGGTCGCGGCGGGGGCGGCGGGGCTGGGCGGCGGCGGTGGCGGCGGCCTGGCGGGGCCCGCGCTTCCCGCCGCATCGCCCCCGCCGCCCGCGCCCGGCCCCGCCGCGCTGCCCCCCGCGCTGCTGACGGCGCTCGGGCCCGCGGCCGAGGGCGCCCGGCGCCTGCACAAGTCGCCGTCGCTGTCGTCGTCGTCGTCGTCCTCGTCCAACGCCGAGTCGGGCACCGAGAGCCCCGGCTGCTCGTCGTCGTCCTCGAGCAGCGCCTCGCTCGGCCGGGCGGGCGGCGGCCGCGGCGGCGCCTTCTTCCACTTCGCCGACGGCCCGCCGAGCGCCCCCGGCGCGGCCAACGGGCACCCCGGGCCGCGCGGCCCCGCGCCCGCCGGCTCCCCGCCGCAGCACCAGTTCCACCCGGGCCGCCGGAAACGCGAGAACAAGGCCAGCACCTACGGCCTCAACTACCTGCTGTCGGGCAGCCGTGCGGCCGCGCTGAGCGGAGGGGGCGGCCCCGGGCCCCAGGCGCCGCGGCCCGGCACGCCGTGGAAGAGCCGCGCGTACAGCCCCGGCATCCAGGGGTGAGTGCGGGGCGCGCGGGGGGACGCCGGGTGCGACTCTGCGCCGGAAGGCTTCTCCTTGCACTGCACGGTAGATTCCTGTTGTAAAGGAGCGGCGATCTGCTGCTCGGATCCCCAGACGGACCGCGGGGGACGGGGGCCACTGAGCCCGACTTGGGCCACCGGAAGGGGGTGTGGGATACTTCACCTTTTTCCCTCTCCCCAGACATGTTAGGGACGGACCCCTTGTCAAAGTGGGGCGCGGATGGGTGTGGAGCTTTATTTCAGCTGCAGACGGGAACTTGAGTTGAAGGCAAATACTCGTTAAATAATTTTTTTTTTTGAGAAAAATCTTTTTGGAAGATGATTCATTGTCTTTTTTTTAATTAGTGATACAATTTAACCAACAGTGAATTTAGAAGTAATATTTTTGGATGACGGCGCGTGTGTTATGATTCAATTTTATGCAGAAATTAACATAAAAAGCATTTTTCTAGTTTTGAAAAAGTAGTTGATAGTCTTCAAAGAAGACAAAAACGTTTGTAGCACGTATTCTTTGGAAGATGCCATTTTTATTTTAAATATTTGCACGTTGGCCTAGAGAAAAGTTCTACTTAAGTTTAGTGCAGTTACACATGACAGGGGCTGTTTAAAAAAACAAAACGTGGGTGTGGGAGTGTTGGTTGAAGCAGTCCCAGGTGAGGCTGCTCAGGTGGGAATGCTACCTGCCCAGCCCTTTTGCCTTCCTGTGTTTTTCTGAGCATCTAGAAACAAAGCGTTTGTATGTAGATATTATGTCATTATTTCAAGACTTAAATCATAAACTTTCTTTGCAAGTTGTATGCTGATTTAAGAGCTGCATAAGGATTTTCCAGGGTACTAGGGTTTTTTTTTTTTGTTTGTTTGTTTTGTTTTTAACAAATATTAGCGTTCTAATCCAGCGATTGCTAGGTGTTGAGATTACTTCTTAAAGTAATTCTTTTTTGTTGTAAGTCTGTTCATTCAGATTGGAAAATGGTTAAGTTGATACTACTTTAAAGCAAGTGAGATACATCCTACCTAGGAGCTTCATGTCCTGCAATTTGTTTCACCTGGTTTGGGTTAGAAGCGATACATTCTTAAATTCCCTGAAGCCCCAGTGTGCATTTCAGCCCCAGGTAGGAGCCATTCTCCTCTTGCTTCTCTTTCTCCAGCCCTTACTTGTCAAACTGTCCAAGAAAGGATGGTATGGAGCGATTTCTTGATATATAGCATCATACCCGAGTTCCTTGGTTGGGGGGTGGGGTGAGGCATGCAGGTTTCCAGCCTGTCATGTCTCTGGAACTGACTCTGTGTCTTAGCACTAGGAAAATAGGAGGACATGTGGTCTTCACTGGTAGAGCATTTGGGGGTCCAAACGGTCCCAAGTCTTGCTTCTTCAGTGAGCTGTTGACAGTGGCGGCATCATGCCCTTTTGCAAATTACTTAGGCCCTGGAAGCTATTTCCTCCCCCCACCAGGTTTCTAGAAAGCTTCAATACGTACATTATTTATTTATTTTTACTTATTTACTTGAGAGAGGGAGAGAAACACACACCAGGAGTGGGATGGGGGAGGAGGAGCAGAGGGAGAGGGAGAAGCAGGATCCCCGCTGAGCAGGGAACCAGAATGGGACTTGATCCCAGGACTCTGGGATCTGGACCCGAGCCGAAGGCAGATGCTTCACTGAGTGAGCCACCCAGGTGCCCCTGCTGGTGCTTTTATTAATAAATGAGCCCTCCAAATACGAGGTTCTTTGCTAGGACCTGAGGTAGTAGTTGGCCTGGAAGATGCCTGTCTCTTGATCCTGCCTCCGAACGCTGGCCTCCGTCTGCGTGCCCCTGCGCAGCACACACTAGCACAGTGTGCAGATCTCCCCCCCTCCTTGTCTGTCTCCCCCATCTAGTCTTTGGTCAGATCTCTCTCCCCTCCCGCAGCATGGCACTGCTAGCGGAGTTGCTCCAGCGGCCAGTGGTCCTCAGACGCTGTTGCCGGCCTCTGGGCCTCTTCCAGAGCCGCCAGTGCGAGAATCTCCTCAGTAGGTTCGGTTAGGTCTGTCCCCTTCAGATCGGCCTGATGGCATCTCTGCGGTCCTCCTGGGGTTAAAGACTGCAGCCGGAGACTGAGCCTGCCTCCTGGGCGCTGCTGCTCTGGGCCCCGCCTGGGGGCCTGCTGCGGTCCTACCCTGCCCCCCTGCTGGCCTGTGAGGTGTCTGCTCAGAGGCCCTGTGGAGGGTGGAAGAGTAGCTTCTGAAGCAGCCCAGCCAGGAGTTCCCCGTTTCAACCTGCCTGGACAGGAGCCGGTGCAGTCCTGCTCTTGGTGATGCTCTTTCTTTTCTCCTTGGCTGCTCTGTGGCTGACGTGTACCACTCGGGGTCTCTCCACTTACTGCCATCTCTGCCTAGAGGAGGAGCCTGCTAGGACTGCCTGCCATGTGTCTGGAAGGGTGGGGTGCCCCGTCTTGGTTGGCTACGCGGAATGCTTCTAGCAGGCCACTGTTGGGGGGGCACTGAGCAGAGGAGCAGGAAGTCAGAGTAGCCCTTGAACTGTGGAGGTATGCCTGCGGTCAGAGGAGGGAGCTGTTCCTCGTGGTCCTGCCCGTGGCAGGCCGCTGGGCTTATGGCAGCTAACTTTTTGGTATCAAGAGATAAATGTCTAGAACTCGCCGCCAGCCACCAGCTTACTCATGGTGATGAGGAAGGCCACCGCCACGTGTTTCATCTATAGCTCAGAAGGGGAAAGAACTGTGATGGGACAGCCCTTGACCTGGTCAGTAGAAAGGAGCCTTGTTGATGAGTAGTGGCTCAGACTTACTGTGTAGGCCCAGGACAGGTGTTTCTGGAAGGACCATGTCTGTAGTCCTCAAGAAAGGCTGAGCCATCAGCCGATGCTGCGGGAGGCTGGGTAGCATCAGCCCAAGCCAGTTGGGCGTTTGCGTGGTGGCCCGTGGAGCAGGCTGCGCTGTCTGCTCTTTTCTGGGGTGGAGGGCTTTGCCCTTTGAAACTGTACTGGTGGCCTGGCCTCACGGGGTTGCCGGTCTCCTTCCACCTTTGAGGAGGTGACGAAGCCAGGGGAGGCGGACAGGGATCCGAACGGGAACCCTCGGAGCAGGGAAAGGGAAGCACTTGTCTTGGAGCAGCTGATCTGTGTTTCCGTTGAACTCAAACTTTTGTTTTGGGAACGGTGTGGAATGTGCTCTCTCCTCGCTACCTGGGCTTCTGACTTAGGGACGTGGGCAGGTGTGGACAGGCTCCTGGGCCCTGCACTTCCCAGCCTCCGGCCCTTGTCACCTTCCCATGCCCTCACCTCCACTCCCTGGCCCAACGAGTTGTTACTTTGCCCTGGTCAGTGCTACCAGCTTCAGAAACCTCGTGAGCCTCAAGGCAAAGAAAAGTCCCAGGTGGGGGTGGGGGGAGCTTGGACCCCAGGTGTCTTGCTGCGTCCTTACTGGTGCCCTGTAGAGCCCCGGGAGGAGCATAATGAGACGAGGGAAGGCCCCTGGCCTCTGGTGGGCCCCTGCAGGCCGGGCCCTGACCAGGCTTCAGTGTGGGCTTTGGCCATCTGTGCGTCTTCCTCTCTAGTGTGCCTGAGTGTGAAATGGTCATGGAGCGTCCTTCCTGCAGGGCTTTTAACAGTGTTTATTTTTTGACATCTTCTGTTCACTCAAAATTCAGTTCTTCGTCTGATGTTGGTGAGAAACTGACCCGGGTCATTCGTAGGATGGTGACCCCACAGGACTCCATGTGTGTTTCCTTCACTCTGTTTGGAGAGGCTGAGCCTGGAGGAGGATTCAGGAGGCTTCAGGATGCCTCCTCTCTCTCTGTGCTTGCAGCCTGACTTGGCACTACGTAAAGTAGCGTGCGGGTGACCCCCTCCCGCAATGCGTCCTTCTGGGGACCCAGTGGGAGGGCGCAGGTGAAAGCCCAGCAGGGCCCATGGCAGACGACAGCATCGTCACTCCTGTTGTGTCCTTTCCGTCCCATATCTGCCTGCACACATGGGGACACATGGGAGAGGTTAGAATGAGACCCGCCCTGCAAGGTGACAGTGGCACGCACAGGCTTCATTTTCTCAGTGTTCATCATCTGCGACCCCTGGGTATGAGGTCGTGCGTGGAAGCCGTGCCCGCATTGCTGCTGCGTTGAGCATGTGCAATGAGCTCCTTCTCAGATGTTCCAACCCCCTTAGTAACAGTGTCGCTTGTTCCCACCTGGTATGCCCTGGCCTGTCACTGCAAAGTGAGATCGAAAATCTAGGGCTGCATGCGGGCTGGGATGAAGTTGGGGAGAGTTGCGCCTGGTTGCCGGTAAGTGAAGAGGCACAGTGAGGACTGCCGACCCTCAGAGAAGGGCTGGACGGACTCCCTGGAAAGGATTGCGGTATGAAACAGGCTGGAGGAGTCCTGGGGGAAGGCAGAGACCTCGAAAGTTTTTTGCAGAAAATAACCTTGGTAATGCCCACGCTGCCGCAGTCGCCGCTGCCGGGCTGCCCGGGGCTTGTGAGGGAGGAGCTTAACTCGGCGATGCCGTTGGCTTCTCAGCAGTAGCGCGGGTGTGATGAGCACCTGGGAAAATAATTTTTTTTTTTAAGATTTTTATTTATTTATTTGACAGAGAGAGATCACAAGTAGGCAGAGAGGCAGGCAGAGAGAGAGGAAGGGTGGGGGGAAGCAGGCTCCCTGCTGAGCAGAGAGCCCGATGCGGGACTCGATCCCAGGACCCTGAGATCATGACCTGAGCCGAAGGCAGCGGCTTAACCCACTGAGCCACCCAGGCGCCCCGGGGAAAATAATTTTTAAGAAATGTTTTAAAGTGTCCATTTTTCATAACTTTGGGATTTTTCAAGGTAAAGCCTCAGACTTCCTTTGGTCACTATTTAATAAGAAATTTTGTTTCCCATTGTAAATGGAATCGTGTACGTCCGATGGGACGAGGCGTCATGGTTATCCTGGGAAATGAGGAACTTCCTGCGCATTGGTTTAGGACCTGTTTTTTAAGTTATGGAA